GAGAGGAGGAGACAAGAGGAGGAGGACAGGAGAGAGGAATGGAGAGAGGAGAGGAGCGTCAAATGTTTTTCTCCAATAAATGATTGTTTTCAAAGTCAATGAATAATCGCATTTAATAATCACAATTACAATTATTGACCCAAATAATCGAGATTATGATTTTTTTGAGCAGCCCTACGAGACACACCAACCATTCAGGGGTCTCTTGAGTGGTTATATACGAGGCACCTACAGTGCCATCATTATAGGAAAGGGATTCAAACCCCCTGTGCTGCTTAGAACAAATTAAACTGCCGATTGTTTGCATAAGTATGCACGGTTCATTGTCCTCTGTTAAAATATACCCTAATGCCAACATGACAATATCCTCCATGAACAGAGAAATCATCTTCGGCGTATAGCACCATCATTGGTCTATTAAAGCCCGTATAGATCCTAGTCTACATCTTCCCCCTTCCTCTCCGTACGGCAGCTCAGAAAGAGAGAGTGCGCTTGATATGCTCACAAACTAGAGATGAGCTCATCCAAAGAGCAGTGCTGGTGTCCTACGTGACTTCTCTTCAGCTGAGCAGTCTCTCTGGCAGCCAGCAGGTGGCAGCATCGCTCCGACACACAGAGCGGTGCTGCACGCACACGCTCACATGTTTGCAGCACATGTCTCATTCAGGTGTAGCATATCAAGCATGCAGTAGTTTCGCATATATCTTCAGACACGCTACACGCACGCACGCACGCAGCCACACACTGAGCTACGGCTGAACAACTAATGAAGCTGCTGCAGGCAAGACTCTAATGTGGAACCGGGAGATTAGAATATGCTCTCGGCCTCGCTCGCACAAATAAAGAAACAACAGATTGATTGAGAGGAGACGGCGTGCGAAGAGGGGAAGGCAATAGAGATGGGAATCAAATGAAAAACATGAGAACGGGGAAAGAGAAGTAAAGAGAGCAGAGGAAGAAGAAGAAGGGGAACATGTGAGGAGAGGAAAGGAGGGAGCACTGCTTTCTCCAGCTGGTCGTCTGAGTACAGAGAAAACTGACTGCTGAGGAGAAGAGGAGAGGAGGAGAGGATGAGAAGCAGAGGAGAGGAGACGAGAGGAGGAGAGGAGGAGAAGCAGAGGAGAGGAGACGAGAGGAGGAGGAGAGGAGCGGAGGAGAGGAGAGGAGGAGAGGAAAGGAGGGAGCACTGCTTTCTCCAGCTGGTCGTCTGAGTACAGAGAAAACTGACTGCTGAGGAGAAGAGGAGGAGAGGAGGAGAGGAGGAGAGACAGGAGAGAGGAATGGAGAGAGGAGAGGAGCGGAGGAGAGGAGAGGAGGAGAGGAGGAGACAAGAGGAGGAGGACAGGAGAGAGGAATGGAGAGAGGAGAGGAGCGGAGGAGAGGGGGAGAGAGGAGAGAGGAGACGAGAGGAGGAGAGGAGCAGAGAGGAATCAAGAGGAGAAGAGGAGACAAGAGGAGGAGAGGAGACGAGAGGAGGAGGAGAGGAGCGGAGGACAGGAGAGGAGAGGAGAAGCAGAGAAAGAGGAGAGGAGGAGGAGAGGAGAGGAGAGGAGGAGACGAGGAGAGGAGGAGAGGAGAGGAGGAGGAGAGGAGGAGAGGAGACGAGAGGAAGAGGAGAGGAGAGGAGGAGACGAGGAGAGGGGGAGACGAGAGGGGGAGGAGACGAGAGGAGGAGACGAGAGGAGGAGGAAAGGAGAGGAGAGGAGAGGGAGAGGAGAGGAGGAGACGAGAGGAGGAGGAGAGGAGAGGAGGAGAGAGGCAGAGTAAGGAAAGCAAAGCCAACAAGGCGATGAATGCTCCATTTCAAATTGTCAGGGCGGACCCCTCTAACCTCCCCGTAATGCAGCCCCTAGCCAACACAAAAACAATTCTAAGCGCATCACACAATAGTGACTTCTCTGCCTGAGTCCTGATGAGCGCTGCCACACAGCTCTCTTCCCACATGACTGCAGAGCTCCAGGACATAGCGTTTCATTTCAACCTCATTACAATGCTAAAGCTCCAGCCTGCATCGGAGCGTATCCCGGGCGCATGGCTGGAATCAATGCTTCGCCTCTCATTAGCTTAGCATATTATTGGCTTTCCTTGAAGACGCCGGGGTGAAGGACACCGGAGGCCCCTGTTTAGTTTTTATTTATGCCCGAGCATTTCAAAGTGGCTTAATCACACGGTGCCGTCGGTGCACACAACAGGTCCCCACCCGGATATGTCAGTGTCTGCCGTGATGTTTGGACGGAAAATTAAGATGACGATGGAGAGAAGAGGGTGGGAGGAGGAAGGGTGCTGAAAGAGGTGCGAGACAGATTAAGGAGGGGAACAGTGTGAGATAGAGATAGAGAAGAAAAAAGAGAGAACATGGAGGAGGAGGGGTTTGGAAAACACACTTCATTACACTACTCTCTTGCTGCAATTATGCTATTTACACAGCAACAATAGAGGGTCTGCCTCTGCGGAGCACCGTCTCATTACCAGCAGGACTGGAGGAAGAGGGGGGAGTCGGGGGGGTGTTGTCTCTGTCATGGCCTGGTACTAAGCAGAACCCCATATTGACTGAATGGCATTTCAGGCGGGCTAAATCCATCCCCCCGCAGTAAACTTCAACCACAGAAGAGTCAGCCTCTTTCTGTCTCTGTCTTTCTCTCTGCCTTTCCATCTCCCCCCCTCTAGGAAGCAGTTTGGACCCACAGAGCACACGAGGACACGCAGTAGCTTGGATATGGAAGCGGTAGTGGCTCAGCGGACGAGAGCCACATTGACAGAGTAATTCTTGCAACTGGATACTGCCCACTGCGGACTCATTGTCAGTCCCCTCCCATACATTTTCATCCTGTCCACTGCAAATCCCCACTGTGTTTTCCACACCTGTGACAATCTATGATGCCTAGAAAACAACTGCAGACACATCCAGTGCCGTCCCCGAGATACTATGACTCTGATGCAATTCATGTTGTGCTGGCTTTGTACTCTAGGACATCGGATTTAAAATAAGACAAGTACTGCTAAGTTAAAGTTCAGACTCAAATGTATTTTAAGGATGTTTACCTTTATGTCAGAGCAATGGTGTGGGATATAGCCTTATTTTAGAGACAGAAAGCCATTTGAAAAAGTTACAGGAATCCTAATGATCTGTTTCAAGTGACTATGAGTAATATACTATTTTACTGTGGTGCCATGAAAAGATTGTGCTTCGTATGCAAGCTTAGGACAACTGTCCAGCTCCCTTGTTCTTAAATTAGAGAACTACAGTATGTACAGAAATAAGGTACAAATCTTATCTTAAATTCCCTTTTCACTAAAATGAGGTGTGAATAAACTGAAACACCCTTAAAGGATAGGCGTATGTCAGGGATGGCCCCACCTCCTCTTTTTGCGGCCCTCAGATTAATTTATAAACAACGTAATTCATTTAAAAAAAAAAGAAAAAATATCTTTAATTGTTTTACTTGTAGTACTGATACCGTCCACTAGACTCCTAGCTACGTCGCGAGCTGCGTACATGATTTCAAATACCGGCGCTGAGGAACAGCAGAGTGCGGGCTGACAGGTGTCTGTGTTGACACTTCCCCTTATTGTGGAAGTAAGGGGAATGCAGAGACTGGCTACAA